CTACACGTTCAGTGATTCGGTATGGTCCAATATACCTTGGACTCAGTTTTCCCTTCCTACCGAATCGCAACACTTTCTTCCAAGGCGATACTTTCAGAAATACCTTGTCATCCATGTTGTATTCAATCTCACGACGTTTCAAGTCGGCATAAGATTTCTGTCGGTCAGTAGCCACTTGTAGCCTTTCTCTGATCAGATGAACCTTTTCTTCCGTTTCTCGAACAAGATCAGGTCCTTCAAGTTTTTGCTCGCTTAACTCTGTCCAACATACTGGGGTTCTACAACGTCTCCCATACAGAGCTTCATACGGGGCCATTTGGATACTAGCTTGATAACTGTTGTTATAAGCAAATTCCATTAATGGTAGGTATTGTTCCCAGTTTCTTCCAAAGTCTATTACACAAGCTCTCATCATATCTTCTAGAATTTGAATTGTTCTTTCAGATTGTCCGTCCGTTTGAGGATGAAATGCCGTACTAAAGTTGAGTTTAGTACCTAGGGCCTTTTGCAAACTCTTCCAGAATTGTGACGTAAATCGCGGCTCACGATCGGAAATGATAGACAAAGGCACACCATGTAATCTTACGATCTCGCAAATGTACAATTCTGCCAATTTCTTTAAAGACATATCACGTCGAATTGGGATAAAATGAGATGACTTGGTTAATCGATCAACGATTACCCACACAGCGTCATTCTTCTTGGCTGATAATGGAAGTCCGATCACAAAGTCTATCGTAATTCGTTCCCACTTCCATTCAGGAATAATGGGTGGATGCAACAATCCACTTGGCACTTGGCGTTCCGCTTTGACTTGGGAAATTCCGTACTCCCTATGTCGTAAATTATTTACACACTTTACTATTCAAAAATCATATGAACTTTTGTTTATTTGTATATTTTCATTGACTATTGATTAAATAAAAAATTATTGTCACCTCTTGTTTTGTAAAACTTTTGCTGTATTTTTTAAATATGTAAGTTTTGTTTATATATATATATATATATATATATATATATATATATATATATATATATATCGATTTTCAAATAAATTGAATTTAAAAAAATAAAATTTTACTTCATTTTTCGTAAAGAGTAAATGATCTAAAGATGGAGGGAGTATTATTTTTAATATTTATAAAAAAAATTACTATTTAAGTTGTCATTTATTTATCTTACCGTATATACATAAATAATATTTTTTATATTATTTATGGTAATTTAAGAACATCTTTATATAATTTATTTATGCTATCATATACATATTATTTATTTATATATAATTCATGAGACATTACCTTACTATTAGTTCATATAAGGAAGCCCAAAATTAATGGAGGAATATAAATTCCACAATTTATGAGAAATGGCGATACAATTAACTCATATCAAAAAGATCAAAATTAATGGAGGAATATACGTTAGAATATAGGCCCAATGCTAGAGGGGGGTGAATAGCGTTTAAAACAAAATCACAAGAAATTACAAACGAGAGCGATAAAGTAAAGAGCATAAGGAAGGAGCACACCGAATTTTATCCTGGTTCACCACAACGTGTGGCTAATCCAGCCTCCCGAGAGACTCTCTCGAGCTACACTTTCTCCGTTAAGCTTAAAGTAGCTCCACAAACCGATACAACTTGAGAACCCGAGTCACACGAGCCTCAACACCTTTGCTAGAAGATACCGCACTCCAAGACTTCTCACGAAGGAACAAAAACTCCCTTCGAATTTACAACAAGGGAACAAACTCCCTTCAAGTGTGTATAAATACTTAAACACTCAAGAATAAAACTCTCACAAAGAGTAGATAGTGAAATAGTAAACGCTCAAGAACACGACAATTTCTTCAAGAATTGGCTCTCAAATAGCTAAGAAAAATAGGAATGCTTATGCAATAAAAGAGTATTGAAATGTCCAGAGGTAAAAATGAGGTTTAAAATATTGAAAACCACCGAGTTGGTTCGAGCGCCGAATGCCGACCAAAGTGGTTTTGGTCTGGGCAAGGACTAGAGATTTTAATACATTAAAAACTTTATTAAAAACGTTTATTTTGATGCATAAAACGTTTTATGATTTTGTAAATATTATTTTGCCTCTTTTAGAACCGAGACTTGAATTGATTGTCGGTTTTTATCACAATAAGACCGACTTGACTAAGTCTTCAATTCTTGATCTTGTCCTTGAGTCTTTTTGTAACACCCCAACCCGCGTAACCCGAACCAACGGGTTAGCGAATCGGGTTGTTACTAAATTGGTATTGACACACATATTTTTTTTCTTTTCTAAAATAAATGATTAAATAAATTATAAAATTTGTCTCGTAAGAGTTTAACCAAAGTAACGTCCAACAGTCCATATAACCAAATAAAATAATATAGTTTAATTATTAAAGTAATAAGAGCCATCCACGCCACACCACCATTTCACTGCCCTCCGGGTTGCCCATCAAAATCTGTGTTCTACCTGGGTGCAGTCAAACAACAACGACTACATGCTCAACAAATTGCTGAGTGAAAATATACCTAAGCTAGCATTAACTCACAGAATAACATCACATTAACATACAATCAACAACTGCATGTGGTCACGGAGAAAAATAGCTTAAATAATCATATTTATTTTAACACCTTCCATTTGAACATCATGTCCTTATTTATTCCACATCAACTACTTTGAGTCATGGCACCCCAAGCGATGCTATAAAAGGGCCAGCTCAGAAACCCAAAGGAGATTCACTTTGGGCGGGTTGAAGCCCCTGTCCCTGCGATGCCAGGACAGGTCGCAGACTTCTGTACGTACGTTTTTAACCCAAGACCACTAGGGGTGCGACGACGCCCCGCAATGGCCAACTTCCTAACCATACCCTATTAGTGATTCAATCAGTCAATCCAATACATGTCCGCCTAATTATACTAGGTGGCATATTTCCCATATATCATTCATAATCCATAATATTCACCAATAAAATCAATTTAACCTAAATTTCAGTTCACAATTCACAACAAGTCATGTAGCGGCCTATTCGGGCCAAAGACCCACGATTACCGTCATGCTTAATCAAACAACCCAAATTACAATTATCCCAACTTACCTGCGCGGAGTCGAGACCAAGGAATCGATCCTCGGGCCCGCTACCCCTGCTGGAGCAGTCGACAACCCGCCGGACCAACCCGGCAGCCCCAACCTGCTGCCCGTTCAGGCAGCCCCACTCAACCGGCCACGCTGCCAGCCTAGCAGCCCGGACAGTCAGCCCAACGACCCGGTCTGCCCAACTGCCCGGACAGCCCCAATTGAATCCAAACCGACCCGTTTGCACCCAAGTCAATCCCAATTGAAACCCGAATTAACCCGATTAAACCAATTGGGTCCAAATCAAACCAACTGGGTCCAAATTGGACCCGCCGGAAACTGCCTGTACGTTGGCCGTAGCCACCACCGGCCAGCCGCCGGAAAACAGCCCCCAACACAACCCCAATCCAATCAAATGCACAATCAACCACAAATTTCACAATCAAACACAAAATTGATACCACAAGATCCTAATCTACGAATTAATGCCAACTATAGATATAGTAACCACGAATCACCTCGAGTTATTGAAGAATTAGAAACCAAATCGGAAGAGGGATGCTCGCCGCTGCACTCCCTGGTTCGGCCGAATCTACCGTGTGACGGGGAAGGAGGAACGGCTACGGCTACGGCGTTCGGCGAGGGCGGCATCGGCGGAGCTCGGCGGCGCTGCTGCTGGCTGACGGGACGACGAGGAACGGAAGTCAAGCGTAGAGGTACAAATGGGAAACGTACGAGGAATGGAGAGTGCTTGTTTCTTGGTAACCCTTTCCTATATTTAATATGAGAATTTACAGTATTAAATTTGGGGTCCAATTTACACTTTCTAACCGGTCAAGATGTATTTAGGTCCAATTACCTTATTCGGCAGTCGTATCTTAAGCCCCGGAAGTCCGATTTTCAATCCGCTCGCGCGGTCGGGTTCAGAACAGTGAGCCCTACAACGTAGGTCAACTCTCATATTAAATACGCAAATTAGAAAATAATCTTCATTTTGACCGACTTAGTAATTAATTAATTATATAAATTAATTAAAAATACCAAGACGGGTTTTGGGGCGTTACACTTTTGGTCTTGTTCCGTGCCATTCCACACGCCTTGAGTTGTTCAATGAAAACTTTTCATATCCACGGCGATTTGGCAATTATCAAAACCTGTCAGAGATGAACACGACTTTAGTTTAACGTAATAAAAAGTGTGTTCCAACAATTTCCCACTTTTTGATAATGGCAAACAAGACGGAGATATGCATAGGGTTTTGATCTTTTTGAAAAAAATCCCCCCTTAATAAAAATTCCTCATTAATGTATGCATAGCCCTTATCTTCCCCCTTTTGACATTAACAAAAAGATTTAAAAACCATAAACATTTTTATTTATTAAATAAGGGAAAAGGCGGAGTACACATAATGGAAGCAATTAAAAAAATAGAAAGAGAAAAAGACAAAAGAGCTAGAGCTCTAGAAATCCGGGGAAAGATCATCGAGGAGTTGGTCTTCGTCAATGTCTTCCTCTTCTTCTTCTTCTTTGGCTTCTTCTTCCTCTTCTTCTTCTTCTTCTTCAACATTCTCCTCTTCTTCACCGCCAACGTCATTTGTCCCGCTTGGTTCACCCCCGTAGTGTGGCGGAGCAATGTAGGGGACCATTTGAGCGTAAGGGTAGTTGACAAAGTCAAAATACCCGTGAAGCTCACGGCTCAAAATGTTGACGTTTTGGGTCGTTTGGGAGACGTTGGTGTCGATCCGAGAAAGGGTGGCGGTCAAGGCGGCCATTTGCTCGGCTAGAGATGGATTGTTTGAAGCGGTGGCCCGTGGTTTGCGGCGTGGACGAGGTTACGGGAACGGAGATTCATCGGTTCCCGGGTGGAAGGAGGATTCATCAATCTCCCAATGCTTTGTCCCTTTTTGCTTCGGCCCAACGTCCATCTTGACGTGAAACTCATCAAGGATCGCCATGACGAGAAGAGCGTAGGGGAGCGGCTGGTTGCCGGAGGTGGCGCTAAACATGTGAGTCATCTCAAATTTACACCAATAAATGTTGGCGTTGTGAATTATCGTATGGAGCGTCTTTGTGTCCTCTTGGGAGAGAGCGGTGTGATTGAACTTCTGTGGTTTGAGAAGCCGTGTCAATACATAGAATATGAATCGAAACACGGGACTCATGGAAGTAATCGTGGGACGGCGCTGTTGGGGAGTGGGGACGAAGTTTCGGAGTCCCAATTCCTCCAAGAGGGCAGTTTCGTTGAACCGTGCCCCTCCTTCTCCGACGTATTGGCTGAGATCCTCTCCATTCCGACGAAGCCCGGTGAGAATTTGAATTTTTCTCCTCATTCAAATAGATATCCACCCCGTTGACGTTTGAAATCAACGCTCCGTCCTCATCCTTTTTCAAATTCGAGTAGAAAGCTCGAACAAGAAAAGGTTGATAGTGGGCCTTCTTGATGTAGAGGAGGTCGAGGAAGTTTCCACGTTCGAGGATAACCCGTGCCTCGCGATGAATGGACCCGTGAATGAAGCGGGCCGTGGAGAACCGGGGTGGGAGAATTTCCCGGTGCTCAAACTTCTCCGAGAACCGCGCCGCCTCTACGCGGTCATTAAACCAAAGGAACGACACGTCGAGGTACTTGTGTGTCGGTGGCGGTGGAGGAGCCAAGGAGGAAGCAACGTTCTTCCCGGTGCGGGATCGCTTTCTTTGACCTCCTGCCATATCAATAAGAGAGAGGAGAGAAGTGTGCAGAAATTTGACAGCAAAAATGAAGAGTAATTGCAAGAATATGATGAATATATTGAGAAAAAATGATTGGAATGAGTAAAAAATGAGTAGAGTTCACCAATTTATAAAGTTGGAGGCTTGGAGATCCGTTGGTGAAGTCAAACAGGTGTTTAATGCACTCCAAATGGCTAGCAAACGGTCATATTTTTGAAAACTTTCCGTTGACAATCGATTGTAGTAATCTGTAAATTGATTGTCTCGCTCCTCTGATTCCCGCTTAGAAATCTTGTCCAGTAGTCAGAAATCGATTTTTTTTGTTCCCCCTGACTTCAATGCCAAAAAAGAATATTTTGAACCCGTTGTTTGGTCTTTTGGGTCCTTGAGGGTTAGTAACGCGACTTTTTAAACCAAAAAAAACTTATCCACCCATAATTACACACACATACGCAAACACACACGCGCACACACGTACCAACATGCGTGTTTAAGTGTTACCTTGGCCAACTCGTCGTCTTGCGGTTGGCGGGTTCTAGTCTACTCGAACCGAATGTCTATACCTTGGTTTAATTTGTGTGGGCTCCGGGAGTGGTATGTGAGTCTTCTTTTTTCATCATAATAGAAGAAGTAATATGGTTTCTTTTGCGTCAATTCCTGCGTGGATTGGTTAGAACTCAAATATCCTTTTTCAAAGGATTTCGTTCGGTTAGTCCTATGTAAAGTGTGTGTTTTGTTATACGTGTAATGCCTATACCTACTAAAACACACGGGGGCTATATGACCTACCCTATGGCAATAATGGCATACTACATTAGGGTTATGCGCATACATCTAGGTTGATAATAACTATTGGGAGGCTTAAACGTATTGTTGCTACTTTGTGAAAAATATGGTTTATGTGTATTTTGAAAATTATCTTTTCTAGGTGTTCTAATATTTTGTTTTAAACGCTATTCACCTCCCTCTAGCGTTGGGCATATATTCTAACAATTGGTATCGGAGCCATACTCTCTAAAAGACTTAACCGTTTGAGAGAAACGATCAATGGCTTCTACTCAAAACTTATACGCAGGTTTAGGTGAAGGACAATCCACCACGAGGCCTTCGTTATTTGACGGAACGAATTACACGTATTGGAAGGAGCAGATGACGATTTACATGCAATCCAACAACTTTCTCCTATGGAGAATTATCAGGAATGGCGAGAAAGTGCCCATGAAGAAAGTCAGGGAAACCACCGTTCCCAAAACCGAAGATGAATGCGATGCGCAGGATATCAAGAAAATAGAGAACAACGCCAAGGCTATCAACATTCTCTATTGCGCAGTAAATCCGGTTGACTACCGGAAAATCTCATGTTGTTCCATAACCCGACCCCAAATTCGTGGGACGGACACGACCCCAAATTCGTCTTCATCACTCGAGTCCTCCACATCACGTTCTTGGTTGGTGGATGCCTTGAGGGCGATCCCATTCTTCTTTTGTTCACCTAGAGAGGAGAAAAGAATGGTAGACTCATAGGTTTTGAGATTACCTCTAAGCCCGTCGATGGTGACGTTGGTGATGTCGATAGATTCTTGAATGGCATCGGCTTTGGAACGCCACTCCGATGTGAGGCTTCTTAGGATTTTTCTTACGAGTTCTTTGTCTGTGTATGTCTTCTTGAGGGCATGAAGATCGTTTATGATTTTTGAAAATCGTTCAAACATATCGTCGATTTTCTCGTTCTCCTTCATATGAAACAATTCATATTCATGGGTTAGAAAATCTATCTTAGCTTCTCGGACTTGATCTGTACCTTCATATGTGATTCCTAGCTTGTCCCATATTTCCTTGGCGGTGGAACAACATGAGATTTTCCGGTAGTCAA